AAATCAACCTCTGCATATGGGAGGGGTAAATGGAGGGAGGGCTTGAGGCCCTGTAAACAATTTAAAACACAATATACGAAGTCAAAAAGGTTAAACGAGATTTGAACAACAAACCGCAAAAGCATGAGATAAAAAATAATATTTATCACAAACACTTAAAAAAATTGTACGGAACTCAATACTCAATCTTCAAATCACTCATTGCTTCATACCCAATTTGTCTCAGCAACATGCTAGACGTCACTCGGTGTATTTTACAATCACACCACCTTGCGGTCACAATCACATCTAATAATCATAACCATGACATCGAGCACGCCAGCAACAAATACCACGATCAAGGATCAAAATATCCGTTGAAACGTCCGAAACGTTTTCGTTTTCAAGGAGACCGAAACGAAACATTGATGGAATTGAAATTCTAATATTTAAAGGCATTCTATAATATTTTGAGATATTTTATAATATTTCAATGCATTTTCACAATTATTTCGGAATGTTTCAAGGTATTTCAAGATACTTTAATATATTTCATTCAATGTTTTAAAAAAAATAATTCTTAAATTTTTTATTTTTTTTATTATGTTTCTGAAATGGGTCGAAACGTTTCAGAAACACGTCAAAACGTTTTCGAAACATGTCGAAACATTTTTATTTCCTAGGTGAGCGAAACAACACACCGAAACAAAATTTTAATCCTTGACCACGATACATCAAACGAAAGTAGTGAGGAATAACGAAACCACAACAATTAAGCAATCGATTAGAATACAACGGGGATAACAACGAAACGAACTCTTTGCAAAGAGATTTACATATAGATGCATATTGTGAGATAAATCACTTTCAATTAATATCAAAGCCATTTGATGTAAGGTCCCAACTATCAAGAACAATGCTTTCAAATCTCACTAGAATTGGACAAAGATACACTGATGAATCTTTGGGTCAAAGAAATTTCTTCCTATGTTTCTTCACTAAACCACACTTGATTTCCTCTTATTCTTTATGTTCCTCTCACATTCGGTCAAGACCTGTTTCCACCATTTCTTTTGACAGCCTATCATCTCTCTCTCTCTCTCTCTCTCTCTCTCTCTCTCTCTCTCTAGTATAGCTGCAGCCCAATTGATTCCCAAACCCTAAAATATTTGATGTATATATAGATGCCTTCAAGATTAAAGTATAATCTATCCCTAATGAAAAATCTGTCCATTTATTCCTCAATTTTCTTTGCCCTATTCTAAACTCACGTGAGGTAATTCTTGTGGCAATAACAAACGCTAAAAAACAAGTCTATTGATTTATAAACATTTTTTTTGACATAAAGGCTAACCGCAAATTTGGAACTCACCTCATTTCAATGCTTCTTTATATATCAATCTAATTGATTTACACTTGTTTAGTGGGTAAATCAAATAATTAAATATTGTTTTATATATCCAATTATCAGGTTTGGGGCATCACATTTTCTCCTCATTAAAATTAATTTCGTCCTCAAAATTTGTTAAATCTAGGTTTTTTATAATATGTTTAAAATCGTTTATACTGTGCACTCTGATTAATGAATTTGGTCATGTTTTTCAACCTCACTCTTACTCAATCTCCCACACTGTTATTCTAAACACTAGCCTAAGGAAGTCCAAAGAATTCTATTCCTTTGTTTTAATCGTCCTGATTCTTAATTTTTATTCTTTTTTGATTTCTGGTCATTTGCAAAGTCCCTGTACCAAAGCTACCTATTAGTTCAATTGGTGTTACAGAATACATTGTATCAAATAAGACAATAAGCTGCAAATGTACCACTGCTTACTTTAAGTGAATTGCAATCGTTAGTTGCCTTACTTTTCTTTTATTTTATTTTGTCCTTCTTGGTGTAATTGTGCTTTAACTTGCCAACTTCTAAATTATTCTAATGTGCTTAAAAATAATTTCTGCTGTTACTCACTCTGATAAAAACATTATAATTTATCTATACTCCAACCACATATTTTAACTATCACTAAGCCCGACTAGCTTACTTCCCGACAGTTCCTATTCAAGAACTAATTTGTAAGTTCTTATACCATTATGTGATGTTCCGAACTTGATCTCTCAAATTTGATGTGCGAGCTAATTTTTCCATACAAATAGAGCACTAATATCTCCCATAATCAATAAAGTCTCCCAAAATTAAATATCATATAATTTTTCTGTCAGCTAAAAATGTAAAATATTACAAAACTCATTCTTCCTTGGAATTGTCTAATCTTTGCTCAATCCGACCCTCTATTGCTTTATACCATGAAATCAACCTATATTTTAGAGGGGCAAATTGGGGGGGGGGGGGGTGAGCTTGAGGCCCAGTAAGCAATTTAAAACACAATATACGAAGTCAAAAATGTTAATAAATATTCAAACAACTAACCGCAAAAGCATGAGATAAAAAAGAATATTGATCATAAACACACTTAATAAAACCGTATGAAACGCATACTCGAATGTTTCAAATCACCCATGGTTTCATATTTAGTTCGTCTCAACAACATGCTAGGCGCCACTTGGTGCATTCTAGTATCATACATGCCCCTCAAGGCCACAATCACATTTCATAACCATAACCATGCCACTGAGCACACTTGACGCATGTGTTGATAGGTCCCAAAACACTTCACTAATAAAAATATTTTTAGCACAACAAACACCACGATACATTAGACAAAAGCAGAGAGGAATAATGAAACCACAATGGTTAAGCAATCAAGTAGAATACAACGACGATAACAATGAAACTAAATCTGCATAAAGAGATTTACATATTAATGCATATTGTGAGATAAATCAGTTATAATTAATATCGAAGCAACTAGATGTAAAGTCCCAACTATCACAAACAATGCTTTCAAATCTCACCAAATTGGACATAGATAAACCATTGAATCTTTGGGTCAAAGAAATTTCTTCCTATGTTTCTCCTATTCTTAATGTTCTTCTCACATTTGGTCAAGACCTGGTTCCACCATTTCTTTTGACAGCCTATCATCTCTCTTTCTCTCTCTCTCTATCTCTCTCTAGTATAGCCGCAGCCCAATTGATTCTCAAACCCTTAAATACTATATGTATATATAGATGCCTTCAAGAGTAATGTGTAGTCTATTCCTAATGACAAATCTGCCCATTTATTCCTCAATTTGTTTTACTCCATTCTAAACTCACGTGAGTCAATTCTTGTGGCAATAATAACAAAGGCTAAAAAACAAGTTTAGTGATTTACGTGATTTTTTTTTGACATAAAGGCTAACCGCAAATTTGGAACTCACCTCATTTATGCCCTCATTTCAATGCTTCTTTATATATCAATCTAATTGATTTACACTAGTTTAGTGGGTAAATCAAATAACTAAATTTTATTATATTTATCCAATTGTCATGTTTGGGGCATCACAATTGTAGTTGAGGTGACTTGTTTTTTTGTTTATTTTTGACTCCAGTGGTTCAAGTTCAGAACTTTCACATATGCCCTATAGATATGTAAAACACTTTTTTGCAAATACTGTTTCTTTTTTTATAGTCAAACTCATACTATTATATTTGCTGTAATATTGATTCAATTTATATTTTGTTTTCTGAATTTATGTATTTAGTATTTCCAGTGCCAGCAACTTTCTCGTGTCATTGCCAGGGAATGAGGCAGTTTGTTTTCTTACAGTCCTCAAACTCATACTATTACTGCTTTAATATTGATTCAAATTATGCTTCTGGTTTTTGAATTTATTTATGGAGTATTTTCAGTTCCAACAGCCTTCTTGTGTCATTGACAGGGAATGAAGCTTCTCCCGACTGGGCAAAAAAATTCACTTGCAATATTTCTATATTCATCTATGGTGGGTATCTATATTTTATTAATATACTGTACTCCTTTGGTTGCACTTTCTATGGTGCTGTGAAAGAAATTTAGGTGGATCGTATCATTTTGTTTAGGTTGGCTTGGGATCTTTCGTACTTCGCTATGTCCCTAGGTTATTGCGTTCAATTCTTGTGGAGCTCGGAATCAGCGAAGACATGTACAATCCTGTATGTAAGTTTCCTATTGGTAATTCTGGTAGTTATCCTTGTGTCTTTGCAAGTAGTCAAAGCATGGCTCGGGTCTTTAAGCTGGAACTTCTTGTTGGATGTTATGGTTGGTTAGCTGCCTAAATGGAGAAACCTTGTAATAGCTGTTGTCTGTTGATGTGGAAGGCTAGTTAATAGGATGTACATCTTTCTTTTTTGGTTGTCTTAACTGTTATACTTTAGGACCAGGAAATTATGTGGGTTTTCAGTTTCAGGTAACTCCAACCAAACAGAGTTCCAAATTATTTTCTAGTTTGTAGTCAATTGTGTGGCACAGCAAAAACTTTATATCAAGTGAGTCTTGAGTTTTTTTCCAATTGCATGATCTTCAATGCTCTTTGTCTGATGGCAAAGGAGTTGCATTTCATAAGTCTTTATTCTGCAGAAATACATGGCAACTGTACAGTGCAGGAAATTTGATGGAGTACCAAGTGTTTGCTGGTTAAAAAATGCTTTTGGCCGATAAATGCACCAGTTAATGCAAATTTGTGCATGACTCGCAAGCTTCTGTCCCCACTTCTCACCAACAAAAAAACAATCATCAAGTTGTTAGGAGGTTTCCTCTGCTTGTGCCGAAGGTGCCCTTATACTATCATACAGTAGGCATTTTCAATATCTGCAATTAACCCGCATGATTAAGTGACAGTTAAAGGAAGTTAAGATGCCCACCGTAGGTAGAAATTCCCTTCATTTGCAGGAATATTAAGATTCCATCTAATTCTTCACTGTGTTTGGTGTTCATATCAATATCCTCACCTTAAATTAGCAGTTATTATTTGGCTTTCAAGTTTAATATAAATTCAACAAGGTTATGTACTTCAAGATTTTGGGCCTTCAGTTTACTCCTGATATGTTCCCATTTTTTGTCTATGAATGGCTTCACTGTAATGCACTTCCTTGTTCTCTAGACGGGTCTACCTCTCATAGGTATATGCACAACGTTCTCCTCTAATTATCTTAACCTCTTGATGCGAATGCATAATTGAAAGATATTGCCACGGTATTTAGTTTATTACAACAGTATTTCATTTTGCTACGGTCTACCTCTCATAGCTATATGCACAATGTTCTCCTCTAATTATCTTAACCTCTTGATGCGAATGCATAATTGAAAGATTTTGCCACAGTATTTAGTTTATTACAACAGTATTTCATTTGATCCCAGCCTCTCCTCCACGACTGAGAGCACTTCCTGATACTTTCCTGCTGTCTTCAGATTTGGCATTGGAGATGAATTTCTGCAGATATAGCATTCTGTGGACTGTTGGTCCTAACTGGCACTGATTTTGTGTTGCAGTTGGCAATGTTTCTCCTGGTTTTCCTTGTTCTTGGTGGAGCTTGGTTGGGTTTCTGGGTTGTTCACAAACTTGTCCTGACAGAAGATGGATCCATTGACATAGGCGTAGCTAATTTTGTTGCCTGGTCCATTCGTATTTTTGCTTCTGTTATGATTCTTCAGGTTCTTAGCTTCCCTGAAAAAAAATTGAGAATCTGTTTCCTACTTTCAAAAAAATTTATATTCGGTTATTTATGGCCCCTTCTGTTGAGTTTGGTGAACTCATTCTTTGAAGAGAATTGTAAAAATGAAGTTGTATTGTTTTCAGAGTTCTGTTGATCCTTTGCTGGCAGCGGAAGCATTGATATGTGGAATACTGCTTTCATCAATATTGAGGAAAATTACCCGGCCAAGATTCGTGCGTCACTTGTACAAGTCAGTGTACGTTATCATTTTGAGCTTAATTATTTCCTTCCACTTCATGTATTAAAATCCATGACCAGAAATTATATGAAGAGGTGCCTCGAGGTAGAAAATGTGTTTGGATAGACCGAATATTTAAAATCGCTGACCTCAATGATGCGGTTTCTTAAGCTCTTGGAATTTTGGTGGCATGTTTGCAATGCTCTGCTATATCTGCCACATATTTGTACATTTCCCATATGGGCTGTTTTATATCATTTTATGCATATGTTTTTAGCTTCAAAACCTCTATGCAGAAAATTATGCAGACCAGACAAGAGCAACCATAGGTATCAGACTTATTCATCTCCCGTTGCAGATTTTTATGGGTCCAGGCCCAACAACAAAGCTCCATACAGTACTCCAATCAGAGGTTTGCTTTATTTTTAATGCGTCATAATAATAAATTATGTAGTACCCATATAACATTCACTTTTACCTATAATTCTGTTAGGTTCAAGCAGGACGTCACCAAGGCAGTTGTCAGATTCAGGCACATTCTATTCTACCTACCATGACACACCTGAAAGAAGAGAATTCTCGAAGGATGAATGGGAAAAATTCAGTAGGGAGTCTACAAAAAAGGCATTGGAAGGGCTGGTTTCTTCTCCAGATTTCAGTAAATGGGCTGTTGCTCATGCTGACAGAATCACTTTGGCTCCTAAGAAAGAGACTGCTGATCATCCGCGGAGGTGGACGTGGCTTCCTTGGTTATGAACATTTTAATGGTCTTCACTAATTCAAGTTGGTTTGCACTGGACATGACTATGAGATGTTTTAGTTTAGGAACGGATTGCCTGCGTTGTTGTAATATAGTGTAGCATCGATTTGGGCACAGATTATACTCTGGAACTATATGTTTTGAGTTGATGAGCCCCCTACAATCTAACTTTTACTGTGATCTATCACTCTTGTATGAGGACAGAACATATGCTTACCCAGAGTCATTAATATTATAATATTTGCACAAATATCTGTGACACATCATTCTAGTTTTAAAAAATCTATTTCTGAAGTATTTTCCTTTACGAAACAATAGGTTGAATGAATCTCTTTTCACTGTTTTTCCCTGATTGAATGAGTAAGAAGTCTGGATGCGGTCCTATAAACAATTAGTGGTTGTCAACATCCGCAGACATATGCAGAGAGATGACTGATGACAATCAACAGCAGCCTGGTGTTCCCCCGCACCAAGGTAAAACCAAGTCTGAGTTCTAATGTTTCGTGGTTTTTTGGGTTTCATTTGATATAAATGCTGTCGATATCCGACCTCTTTGTGGTTTGTATTTCTTCATCATACATGTGTTTGTATGCATACATGTATAGGTCATCATTTTTGTATACTCGTCCACATATTTACAGGTTATCCTACTCATCCAGAAGCTCCAAAATATGCTGATCCTCCTCCCGGGTCTTCTCCACAAGGTGACTCTCAGCAGGAGCAGCAGAACACCCACCCACCTCGAACTCCAACTGACAGCAACCTCCCTGTTTGCATTGAAATATGGTGTGCCTTTCTCTCTCCCTCCTCCCTCTCAATTTAGTTCTTGATCTATCTAAAGCATAATCTCAATATATCTCTGCATTTTTTGAAACCCTTTTAAACACGTTTTCACTTTGCACAGCTGACACACTTCTTTCCATTTGTAGTTGTTCAGCACTTTTTAGCTGTTTTTTTGGCTTCTAAACCGCACTGTCACCGGCTCCGATTGTGGTTATTCGTTCACCAACGATCTCTCTTTGGAGTTATCATCAAGGGAATGGAGATATCCTTTCTCTAGACGAATGAGACCTTTTTGTTTCAATTGTCTATGGATGATCTGCCGCTATGGAAAATTGAAAAAAAAAAATTATTAGAGAGAATCTAAATCATCTTCTACAGCGTGCATATGACACAAGCTCATATCCTTTTAGGTACACTCTACAGTAAGATTCTAAAATGTAACCCAACCCCGACTTTGTCCACGAAAGCAAGGTGGGCATTTTTTTTTTAATTATTTATAGGCTTACGTTGATTATTTTCTCGAGTTCGGATATTGATCATTGTAGTCCGAATGAGTTTAGAACATGTTCTCTGAGTAACAAAAGTGACTGACCCTTAGGAGTATAATAAATGTTGAACCTGAGACCTCTGGATTATCAAAAGTCAGACTTAGCCATTGAACCACCCTAAGGGTTAGACATGTAATGTTAAGTGCTTATGTTAAAACAGTCCCGGAACAAGTTTTGAATCATGCGGCAGGATCGTGAATGCCCAAATAAATGAAACTATCAATAATTGTGCAATACTTAAACCAATAGAAAATTGTTATTTCGAAATAATTTGAGAATATAATCTGATCACTTAATCAACTATAACTGTTAGATTGAAAGTGTGCTCCCAAGAGCGAAGCCAAAATATTTTTTGCATTGGGGACAACTAATTATTTATATATAAGTTAAAAATATAATGAAAACCAATTAATCGGAATAATTTATTCTAAAATATAATTTATTATAATCAAATTTCAAATATCAAAATTTAAATGTTGAACATGCAAAAAATTAAGAATTCAATTATCAAGAGAGCATTGTCCGAGAGAGAAAATAGAAGAGAACGACCAAATAACAATCATCAAACTTGTTGCGATTTTGCGAATATATTTTAAATAATAATTCGTTGGTGTGTAAGGGAAAAGAGAAAATTGGAGATAAAAAGAGAGACCGAAGAGAGGGTGATGATATTGAATTGTATAAAAGAAACTTAAATCTAAATTTTTATAAGAATATAAGGAATCGCTCTATTGGGGTCTAAAAATTTATTCTTAATTGTTGACCTAATGACACGACAGCGGAGATATTAAAAATAACATTATTTTAATTAGAACTCTTGAATTTATTCTTTGAGACTACATCATTTAACACATTATTTAGTAAATAAATTAGTTTAGATTAGACCTAAAAGTGTCATTGAAATATAGAAGTAGAGATAAAGTTTTTCAAATTTTTAGAGGGGGCAAATTGTGAAAACTTATAAATTTATAAAAAAAAAATTAAAATTGCACCAGGGCAGTTGCCCTCACTGCCCCCCAATGTAAATCCATCCCTGTGTACTTTATTTAATATTGGAACTCACAATTAATCCGATGACTATATTGAATTAAGTCTTTGACTAGGTGCATGCCCAAATTAATGAAATTATCAATGATTATAAGGTGCAATACTTAAACCAATGAAAATATTATTTTTAGATCTAATTTGATAATTTAATATGGATTATAACTGTTGAATTGAAAGTGTATTTTATCTAATATTAAAACTCACAATTAATTTAATAAATGTTAAAACTAGGGGTCGGCCCTTCCATTGTACATGCGCCCATGCATGATTGGTGGCTAAGTTGAAATGTATTCCTTAAATTTTTGGAGGACAATGATACATATAACAGTAAAATTATACTTACAAAGTTTTTTATCTCAAGTAATGTGACATAATGTCTATCATTAAGTATTAATAGAATCCACTTATTTAATAGTAAAAACTGTGTCACATTATTTGAGATGAAAATTTTAGTAAGAAATATTGGTCAATATAACATTATTATACATATAATGACACGAGTGTTTTTCCATGAAGGACACGATGATTATTTTTCTTTTTCGCATTTTTGCATTTTTGGCCGCATGGTGAATATTTTTTTGCATGTTTGGCATTTTGGTATAGTAGTAATCGTGTCGTGTCAATTATATTGTATCATATTATTTATGAATTTGTGTTGAGTATTGACTCAACTTATTTATTTTTATGTTATATTTGGGTTGACTCATATAATCTATAAATTAAAATTTTAATACTAATATGTAAGTTTAAGATTTTATTATTTTTTATCGAACTCAGGCTTTTAGTTTTTTTATAAACTAAAAATTAATTTACAAAATATAATAATAAAAATAAGTACAAACATCGTTTTTTTTTGTACAACTATTATATCAATACTTAATTAAAAGATGACAAAAAATTGATATTTTATTATCATAATATTGGTCAAATGTATTAATCGTGACAATTTTACATTATTCGTGTCGATCCAAAATTCTTACATCCCAAAATTTCTTCAAATTTTTGTAATCATATGTCACCAACCATATACGAGTGGATGCGGCATTTAGAAATAGTAAATCTCATTTGAATTCATATAATACATAGTTTATTAAAATTATATATTTAAAGTCAAAGCTATTATTTCTATCATTTTTAATTTCACTTTTAAAAGGTGTAGTTTGATATTTAAAAATTATAATTTTTATAATTAATCATCATATTTTATGATCAATCATATCCTTGACAGTTACGACTATTAAGTTCGAAAAGTCATAGCTTTTACTTTAAAAAGTTAAACTTTCGGGGTAATACATATCTTAATACTGTAGTTATCTTCTATGTTTGAATGACTCTATTACTTTCTTTGGTATTTTTAAATGATTGTTACAACTTGCAGTATGAGTAATGAAATTAAAAAAAATACTAAAATGAAATTAAGAAAATATTAAAATACTTTCGCCATGGACAGCCTTTGTTTTATTTATTTTTTGAAACAAGGATAATATAACCATTTATTTTGCCAATAATGACATATGCAAAACTATCACTGTCGTCTATTGTCGCCCATTATCACTATTGTTGCCACCATCGCCCAGTATCACAACTTACCACCATCCGTCGTTGTCTACTATCGCCGTCAGCCACTATCATCTACCTCCATTGCACCTATTACCACCAACTACTGCCACTCGTCATCACCCACCACCGTCGCCACTCCTTATTACCTACCCCACCATACCTACCACCACCATCACCATCATCATTCGTCACCACTTATCATATTGTTGTCCAAAAACACTCGTCGTCACTCACCCCACCATCATCATTGACCACCACCGCCACTACCAATCACCATTATCATCGTCCACCATTACCACCTTCGTCACCCACTGTTGTCATAATTACGACGATCGTCTTCGCCCATCAGTGCTTAAATTTTTTTCTTTATCCTGTATGTTTGTAATTTAATTTTGAATGTGAATACAAATATATTTATTATTAATTATTTTTTTTTATTATTTTATGCATTCAAACACGGATAATAACTAATCGATATATATATATATATATATATATATATATATATATATATATATATGTTAATACGAATAAATTAGACTTTATACCTTTAGTTGTCCTTTAAACCAAAAAAAACACGCCTATCCTTATTAACCTAAAAGTCCATAGCTGTAGGTCAGCTGACAACCTTTCAAATGAATAACTAATAAGCACAGATCACATGCCAATATGCCATTGGAATCTTAAGACACAACTGAGCATGACTCAAGGAGTAGATATCCTGACCTACTACAAACCAAATCATTTAGTATGTTTTTCGCATAATATCCTGTTTGGTAGCCGGTGCATGTCATCCCCATGAGCAAAATCTTGGATCCCTTGTCCTAAAATGCTTCACAAGCATTTACATGACAATACAGAATAAGGTGAAGATGTCCTCAAAAGAAGGTAAGATTGTGATATAAACAAATACTTTTTTAATATGCTTTTTCATTTTGTACTCCCCAATATTACGTTCAAATTGCGCTTTTAATGTATTAAAAATAAGAGCAAAGCTATTGAGATCACATTCACTGAAGGAAAATGCTACATAATCCAAATAAAATTCAAAAATTAAAACTTAAATGTATATCAACCCTTAAATGAGTGTGAGGTGAGTGGACTATACTGAAAAAATTGTTGGGATTCACTCATTAAAGGGATGATATACATTTGAGTTATAAATTTTTGAGTTTTATTTGGGTTTTGTAGCATTGCTTTTTACTGAATAATTCATAATGACATTTGGATTGATTGTGAATTTATCAAACATTGAAACTTGATGTTGATTCAATAGTTATATGATATTTAGATTGATTGTGAACTCATCAAATATTAAAACTTGATGTTGATTCAATAGTTATAATAAAGTCGCATCACTATATCAACAAATTAAATTAAATTTTTTAAATTCAAATAACATCACTCTTAAAATATTATAACATGGTCTTTTCGTTAATTTCTATTACTTATTCCTTCAATGTTCACAGGGTGATTTTTGACATAATAAATAACAGAAATTAATAAAAAAGTCACGTTGTAATAAATTTAATATATTAAATATATATTATGAAAAATTAATCTCTAACAGTACGAAGCGAAAAATCTTTCGAGGTGTACAATGAGATTCCCTCGGTAATAACATGGAACCAATTTTTCTCCATGTAAACCCATAACTCCGCAACCAAACAAACCCTTACATGCATATCCGTTTGAATTTTCCCCCGAAAGCAGGCTCGATACAAATTACAATCCCACGTACATATCTCTTCAAACAATCAAGGGCCACCTGGCAGGTTTTAAAAGATTCCCAAAGCCTTAAAATTATGACGAGTAATGCTAAATGAATTTAAAAAATAGACTTAGTAATTTTAACTATTAAATAACTAGTGAGTCTCAATAAATATTGGGATTCACAGTGAAATTAATGGTTGAAATTATCAAGTTTAATTTTTAAGTCTATTTTGTAATTTCATGTAGCATTATTCAATTATGATTTGTCTTTTCCCGATCATTTTCTCCACCTCAAACTTCTTCGCTTTGCTATATATTTCTGATCCACTTCACGTGGGATTTTCTTTCTGCAGTAAATTTTCTTCACTGGATTTTTGGGTCTGTATATTCATGGCTATGACATTGAAATCAAGGTCATGGTTCTTCCAGCAACGTGATGGTGAAGATTGGGCACCATTTTGCAATCTATGGAGCCAAACAAATCTTCTTTGGAGGAAGAACTTTGATTTGATGAGGAATGTTGGGTGTTTGGGAAAGGAGAGAAGTGAGAAGAAAAGGTTGTTTCTCAGGTGCTGTAGTAATGGCAGCTGTGGAAATGGGTGGAATTCAATGGCGGAAAATGAGAATTTTGTGAAGATGATGAGAGAAGCTGAGCCATATTTTCGGGCACATAGAGGCAGCACATTCGTCCTCGTATTATCTGCAGAAATTGTTGACAGTCCTTTCTTGGGTTCCATACTCGAGGTATCTCTCTCTCTCTCTCTCGCTGTGAGTATGTTAATTATTTGAGTCTGATGGAGCTGGAGGGAGAAAAAAATACAATCAATATGATACGCAAGGAGAGAAAGGAAATTAAATCCCGAATCAGAAAAAGAGAGAGAAGAGGAAATATAATGGGGAAAAAGGTAGGAAAAGAAATCCATTTTGCTTTTTTTTTTTTTTCTTATTTGATGGGACAAAATAGATAGAGATTAGAAGAAAAGAAAAGAAAAGATAGAAGAAATTGCTAATTTTTACTTGTTTTCTCTTGTTTGATAGATGGGTGGTGAGAAAAGAAAAGGAAAACACTTTTTCTTATTCGAGAAAAAAATTTCTAAGAACTTTGGTTATGCTTGCATTTTTTTTTTCTTCCCTAACAAAGAAAACTCACTCTATATCTATCACGTGATTGACGCGTGACCAGAACTGTCAGGAGTTTTTAACAAATGTTTGAGATTGAATTATATAGATATAAATCAAAAATTTTATGGACTAAATAAACACAATCAAAATATTAGACACTAAATATACATAGACTTTACTCACCCTGTCAGACTATTCTACTGGGCGGCGAAACTATTAAAAAAAAATCAATCAAGTATTTTATTTTTGAAAAAGAACGGCTAGCAAGAAAGTTAGCACTAAAGGGACTTTATATTTATTTAATGCTTGTGCATTTTCTTATCGGCACCAACAACCAAGCAGTCAAAGATTTTCAGGGATTTGTGTTATTGCTTGGTTTACTAATTTCATATTTTCTAGTTGGTTCGGTAAAAATCTAAATCTAAATCATTGTCTTTTAAATTTTTTCCATTCTTTTGCCATATCATTCGTGAATTATAATATTGTAAGAGCTTTGAAGGGCACATTATTTCTCAAACTTGTTTGTGTCAAGGACAGTTCTATGTTTCGTTTCCAATAATACACACATGACATGAAGACATTTTTCCCACTTTCATTCTCGTAATCGTCATTCGTAATCGTCTTCATTCTCATTATTTTCTTCATTTCATTCTACATTGGCATAATCACTTGATACATATTCTTTCATATCACTACAATATAATATACCATTCTTTGAGAAATTATGACAAACATAATAAATGCGAATATATTAATCAAAACTCCGAGTATTCAATGCCTAAATGTCTTATCAAAGTATGTTGATTATGCACTTGTACGCAATATCAAAGAAAGTATTCCAACAAATAATATTATAATAACCAATGTTTATATATATGTTAAACTTTGCCAACAGAAACAAAGATTATCTGGGTATAAAATTAGTGGATGAATATGAACTATCGATATTACTAGAAAGTTGAATATTGATTAATTTTGATTCGTTGGTGAGTTAGACACAAACAGAGAGATGGACGAACAAATTAAAAGATGAAATGAAGGTATTAACCGGTGAAATGAAGGTATTAACTGGTGAAATGAATGAGAAAAAAGACTGAGACTAGGTATTGAAGGATATAAAACGATTGAAAGGCTAATAAAAAGGTAAATGAAATGTAAATTCAAATAAAATATGAATTGAATGAAATTTAAATGTTGTAGGGAGGTGGTCACCATAGTGCTTTATCGAATGTCGCAGGCCCCGGTCAAGTGAATCTTTGTGATGTTTCTTTTTCTCCTCTATTCTACCCTTAGCCAACTAGCTCGGCTAAGGCATGCTCTTGATTCTTGTCGCTCATGCCTTTAGCTTGTTCGAAGTTGGGCCAATCGATTCAAATAAAGACAGTTCATGACTTGCTTGTTGGGTAGACAGACAGTAGTGAACTTGTAACAAATTATCCCTCAGGTCGGATCTAAATGGTTGGGTTGTGCTTGGTAAAAATATTTCAATAGACTCTTTTCTTTTTCTTTTTTTCTGTTTATTTCCTATTTTGACCTTGAGCTAATCAAGCATATTTTGTTAAAATTGCGTGACTGTGACATTAAACTGTCCTCTCTGTTCTACTATCTCTCTCACTCACCTCTTCCTTCAATTATTTTCTTTGTCCTCTCAATTCTATTCCATTATTTCTCTCTCCTCTCTCTTCCATTAATCCATCTCTTTCCTCTTTTTTTTAGACCATTATTTTTGTCTTATCTCTCTTCCTGGTCGTTATCGTGTATATGTTATTTAAATTTTTGTCTCTTTCTTATCTCTTTTATCCAACTCTTTCTCTCTTCTCTCACTTTCTTCAATTACTCTTCTTTAATTAATCTTTTCTTTTTTTTTTTTTCTAATTAGGACTCTATCTTTCTTATATTTATAAGGGTGACAATCGTGACGAGTTAAATGGATTCGTGTACAAAATCACTCAACTCGTGCATGACTCATTTATTAAACAGGTGAAAATTAAAATTGAACACAACCTATTTATTTGACGGGTTACCAGACATGACCCGTGTAACTTGTTAAATAGGTGAAGGGTTTGAACCGTTTATTGCATTTTTTTTCTCCAAACCTCTTTTTATTAAAAAAAAAATTGTAGACCTCTACTCCCATGGAAGAGTATAGAAATGAGTTTTTTTTTTCATTATATGCTTAGGTTAAAAAAATTGTATATGCATCATAATCAGGTTGTGTCTCATGTGTAGGGCCATTAATCAAACTGAGCTACTCGAGTTTGGCTCAGTTTCGGTTCGTTCAAACTCGGTTCATTTTCTAAACGAGTTCAAACTTGAACAAGTTTTTAGGCTCATTTAGAGAACAAACTCTATAACCTCGACTCAAACTTGACTGGCTCGACTTGTTTATGTGTAAATACTCGGGCTCGACTTATTTTGGGCTCATTTAAGCTCGGCTCGTTCCCTAAATAAACCGAATTTAAACAATTTTTTAAGTTCAATTAAGAAATAAACTTTTCAAGCTCGGTTCGAATTTGGTTCGGGCTTGTTCGACTTACAGCCCTACCTATGTGTTGTCCAAATTGCAGTTATATTTCTTTTCTTTCTTATCTTTCTTGTTCTAGTGGACTGGGCTGGGAATATAATATGGGCTTCTAAATTAAAATTGAAAAGGTTCTCCATCTAGGTCCACTTTTTATGTATACCTAATTTTTAAAGTGATAGACGGGTTGATATACTTTATCTGAACACGACCCATGCAATAGGGAGTTTGGTGGGTTCATCTGTTTATCATCCAAAATCGTTAAGATCGAATTCAAACTCGTTTATTTTGTATCGATTCATGTTAGATAATTGGTTCGTATTGAATTTTGCCATGCCTACACACTTTCAAATAGAAAACAAGTCGCGACCAAAAAAAAAATAGAAAACAACTTGCAGATCTTTGTTGAAATTTACATGAGAGAGAGAAAGAGAGAAAGAGAGAGAGAGAGAGAGAGAGAGAGAGAGAGAGAGAGGTGAGAGATTTTTTTGGATCTTAGATCTTAGATCCTTATGTTTGCCAAAATTTCACAGCTACCATTTTTAAAATAAAAGTCATCTAATAAATCCTTTTAAATATGAAAGAAAATATCCTAAAGTTTCGGTGGAATTTTGAATTGATTTTGACCATTGTAAGCGAAAAGAATATTCCACCTAGTTTTTGTGATCGTCTTGAGTCCCCTTAGAGTCGAGCTTCTTGCAAAACGAACAAATTGCCCAAGACCGAAGTGTTTCGGTCAAAAGCACTCTGATGCTTAAGTCAGTAACTGGAAGTAATGCACTTGTATTTTAAAAGAGTTATGTGTACCTTTACTGTTCATCCTTGCTGGTTTATATAGGCTCTGATGATTTCTTCCTTTGGAGAGATTGACACATTCTTCTTCAATTCAGCCTTAGTTGTTGGGTTTCCCTTAGGTTTCCTCTTAATGCTTCATTGATCTCAGCTCATAAGTGTTTTAGATTGATTCAATTGGTACAGTCGAATCCCTTGAATTTAGGTTGTGATCAAGTTGTTTGTTTCTTATCCTGATCTAGCTAAACCTTTCTGCTCAGTCATTCCACCCACCAAACCAGTTCGGTTCGGTGATAACAGAGCCTTAGCCCTCACATGACCTTCGTGTGACCATTTACACGTGGTATAATTTTATGTCCCTTCACTTGCCCCCATATAGCTCATGTCAGCCATCATTTGTCTAACAGCCGCTTCATGTCTTCAAGTTTATGATTGTCTGGGCTTTCGAGACACGCAATTGTCTTTTCTCATTAAATACCCATCCTTTAGCTTCTTGACTTCCCTCTATTCCCAGTATAAAATGTTTCAACTATATTTCATCCTTACTTTGCTCTTTTTCTTCTTCCTGTTCTCCTTGAAGTTCTTTTGTGCTCGCACTTTCTTCACCCATCCTTCCAAATGGCTCCCCTCACGACAGAAGGTATTCTAGTGTTCATGAACAAATACAATATTCCCATTGACGTAGAAATTTGAAGTGCAGGTAAGATGAACCGCTGATTGGAACTAGGGAATTAATCCCCATCCACACAAGGGCTATTACCGAAGGCGGTGTGAGGTTCCCATTACACCCCCTGCTGCTTTGGGTTCTTGCGACTACCATGCTTTGCCCCATCCACTGTTACCCTAACTTTTTCAAAATCGTTATGGACGTTGCTGCTCTGAACAACCTTCTGAACGTGAATTTGGGCCTCTGAGAAATCCTTTTATACTACATTCTGAAGACAAATGGTGATAGTTACTATTTAGTAGTGAGAAGGAACGACAGATGGTGATAGTTACTATTTAGCAGTGAGAAGGAAAGACAGATACTTGGTCACCCATCTACCAGACTCAAATAAGGGACATGAAAGTGATGTCATTTTTATTTATGGAAATTGGGAGTATAGGGCAAGAGAAGTGCCTTCTTATCGATGTCCTTATGAAAAGGGCACACCAGGTATTTGTCAATTTGTATTTGAGAGTTTTTCCTTCTCTCCCTTTTTTTTTTTTTTTTTTATCTTGTAATTCTATGACTATCCTCATTTAGGAGAAACTGTCAAGGGTAAGATTCTTGAGAGTTCGGTAAAAATGGAGGACCTCAGAAAGGTGTGGTTCTACAACGAAGGTGTCTTTTGTCGAGCTACTTATGTCCTGCTAGGGTACACCTCCACCTATCACTCATTCATTGCTATCCCTGATCGGCCCAACACCACGCTTGTCGAAGACAGAGTCGAGCTTCAAGCTCAACGAGTTTCCGCCCCCCGTCCTCGACAGAAAACAACTGCTCTTTCCAGAAGGAGTAGACCAGTTAAGAATTTTCTTAGTTTTCTTACCTCCAACGAACCAGGGGAGGTTACTTCTTTGGCATTTCCTGTTCTTGCCGAAGCCAATTCCTTTCCCGTCCAATCAATTAATCTCATATTCGATACCAATCATGTACTCAACACTGTCGAACTTCCAAGCACTCTTGATGGTGCTGTCCTTTCTCTTGTCGGTCCATTCGTCAAACTAGAGACCAAAATTCCAGTTGTTGACCCCCTGAGACAATAATTCCTTCTATAGAACTCCCTTCTAGCGAAGTTACCTCTCCAGCTGCCACAACTTCTCCTCGCCCAATTGATACTGAGCCCGAGGAGCAAATAACTAAGAGGAGACAGCTCGAATCTCCTGAACGGTCAAACAATGTTTTTCGGCCCATACTTCAGGCCAAGGGTCGAGAGATTAATATAAGAGATTCGATTGTCAAGGATATGAACGTGGCAGTGGGGATTGTTAGGGGCGTGATTCTGCCATGTGATCTTGCTATGAATGAGTCAGCTTTCGATGAAGAAATTGCCCGACAAGCCATTCAACAAATGGTTATGGTATTTACCTTAATCTCTTATTCTTTTCATCTTTCAGATTCATCCCATATACTTAATCTTTCTTTTCTTTCTGTCTTAAAAAGGGTCTTCAAAAGGTGAACAAAGTAGCGGCTAGAATTTCCAAGAATGACAAAGCAATGAAGGAGGCGATCCATGATCGCATGACCACCCTAGCTAAAAAAGAATCTGTTGACAAATAATATTCCAAACTTTGTGAAGAAACGCTTCTCCTTTAGGCTCAATCTCTTAGCTTGAAGGAAGAAAATGAAAAACTAGCAAAGGAGGTGGAGGTTTTAAGGGCTTCAAAGATCTCCCTCAGAATGGATTTGTCCCAAACTCAGCTTGAACACTCTTCTTTACTTGAAGAGTTTGATAAGTTCAAAGCTAAAGTGAAGAGTCTTGAAAATGATGCCTTTGAACAGGGAATAGAGAAGACATAGAGTGACCCTGCTCTACAGATCCCTTCTTTGAAGAAGACATACTTTGCAAAAGGCTGAGCAGCTGTTTTGAAGGCTGCTAATGTTCCTCATTTGTTTGAACTCTACTCGCATCATTCGATGTCTAACTCTTCTAATACCCTTTCTGCCCCTTGAAAACTCGTGTAAAGAGGAAAACCTTTTGTTAATCATTAATGGAAAATCTTCTTTTGTTTATACCTTTACTGCTTAACTTTAGAAAAATTTGACTTGTAATAGTTTTGGCCCTGTTTAGCCCTTCTTTACAACTAGGTCCCAACGCGTCTGCTAAAGACACATTTTAACTTAGAAAAACTTTGCTCAAAATTTTTGGCCTTGCTCGGCCCTTTTTAAGGGATAGGTCAAAGCACTTCTGCTAGGGACGCATTTTAACTTAGAAAAACTTTGCTCAAAAAGTGTTGGCCTTACTCAGCCCTTCTTTAGAGCTGGGTCCCAGCACTT